CTTGAATCTACTCCCACACGCTCAAACAGGCTAAGAGATACAGTAATCCCGCGTAGAACGCAACAAACTTGGGTCCGCTTCGCTGCATTCACGACGACGTGGAAACTTTTTCAGCACCTTACAATGTAATTTTTTGCTCGAAACTCGAGCCTCGACAGCTTGCCTTTGTAGACTTTCGAACATAGAAAAGGACAAGCGATTGCAAAACTGAAAGAAAGCTTGTGTTTCCACTCGACTCGACTGCCTGGCTCGCCTGTGATACTTTCGCCGGCCAAAGACTACATTGTGGCCGCCTGCGGCTCGCGTTATCTTGCTCGATCTCGGTATATCTTGTACGCTCTTTGTCGTACTGTTTTGGCCAATCCAGGTGATTCTTTTAATGTGATTCGTCGACAGTTCTCTGGGTCCTAATCCCAGCCTCGTACCCTTGTCGCATCACTCGGATCCCCCGTGTCGCATCGACTTGCAACAGTCGATCGCGGTAAGCCAGAATACGGAATACGAAGGACAGCGAATGCAAAAGAAAGGGAGGTCAGAGTCGAGGTAGCCGAGGATTGGTCTCACCGACACGCAGGCCTCTCTTTCTTTTCCATTCGCTGTCCTTCGTATCTCATATTCTGGCTCCACTGCGAGGAACGACGCGGTTAATGCACAGGCTGGCTATAGCTCTATAGCACACGGGAAACACGACGCACAGTTCGTTTCTTAAAACTCTGAATCTCACTCGGAATAAACAGTTCGATAACTAGACGCTTTGCCCGAGTATGACACGGGATAAATTGTTATATGATGGATTAAAGACAGCGGTGGTGCGTTCGAATCCTTTCGTGAGCAACGGTATATGTATACCTACATACGTGTTTTTTTTCTTTTCCTTCCGACATTTAATATTGTACCATTTTAAATCTTTCTGACACCTTTGTACACAATAAACAAAGGCTTCAACATTTTTTTATGTTTGTACTTTATCAGAAGCAATAATAAAAGAATATGAATTTTTAACACCTTCTACATAATTAAATATGTTTTAAATTATACTGTGTTTGGTATCGTTTAATTCGAAATAATCTCAGCAATATGTTAATATAAGTTTCATTAACAAAGAACCAAAAATAAAAAAGTTTCATCGTTACATTAGTATCGTGTCATCCGATGCCCGGGCATGTAATCTTTTCTTGATCTTCCCTCGTTCAGCCGTCGGCTCGTGAAAGGGAAGTCGCCGCGGCGCGCCAAGCAAAAAGCTAAGTGCTTGACAAGTTCCACGGCCCCCTTCCCCAGTGATGGGGATGACGATGTAGGATTCATCGAGTCGTTTTCGTGTTGCGTTCAACGCGGGATTACTGTAGAAAGTCTGAATAGACTGTACTTGCGATAACACGAGATAAGAAAATTGTAATATTTATGAAACATCAAATTTTCTTCAGACACAACAAGTATATAACACATTAGTGCGTATTAACCTTTCTGCTATAAAGTGTGTATGTACACTTTCTAAAGCTGCATCTACACTATATAGCATAACATGTTATATAGAAAAGTTACACAACTTCTTAGAAAAACAGAAAGTAAAATTTTATATAACTTGTTCTGTGTTATCCATTAAGTGTAACGTCATTGTTCATGAGATACGAAATGTTATACCAACTTATTACAGACTTGTCCAAAAGATATTATCTTGCAACAAGTTATAAAAACATGTTGTATAGCAAAGTTATATTACAATTTGTTATGTAACACTGTTTTGCTCTACTGGGTGTAAGAAAAGTGTTTTAGATCCCTGAAATGGGTCACTTGTGAAGTGATTTACAAGAAATTTTTCCTTAGCAAAAATGTTATCCGAGGCACGATTAACGAGATATTAACGAAAAATCCTGAACCTATGCGCTGCAATTGACAGCCAACGCTACCACGGGAGCTCGGCCGGTAGACTCGCCCCCTGATTGGTCAGGATTTTTCATTAATATCTCGTTAACCATGCCTCGGATAACATTTTTGTTAAGGAAAAACATGTTCCAAATCACCTCACGAGTGACCCATTTCAGGCAACTATAACACTTTGGTACCCCTCTATATTATAGACGCAGCTTAAGTCAGTCAATTAGCAAATAGAAATAAAAACCATTTCCATAAACAGATATTGTTCAATGCAAACAGGAACTGAGTCCAAAATCTCGAAACGTGACCATACGTGTAACCAATACGGTCAAATATCAAAAAACCTACCATCAAGATAAACTCACACTTCTTGATACCTGTAAATCTAGAGTTATTCCTATCCGGAATACACCGAAAGAGAGAAACTGGTTCCCTGACAGTCGTGGTCCGCGTCAACGACACCTGCAGCCCCTCTGTTTGCATGGAAACTCATTTTCGTTAAATTGCGAATGAGCCCCCGTGGTCACGACTACTGTTCAACGGAACGAAGTGTGCCGCGCAACCTGACGGGTTCGCCTCCGCGAAACTGGAACCCTTTTTCACAGTGAACCCCTCCCTGGTCACGACGCAGAAGAATGTTTAATATCGGATTTCGTACGGGACAAAACGGCAAGTTGACAATTCGTCAGAGGCGACAGAGAAGAGAGCACGACGCCCCGCCAGGCCACGTAAAGGCTGATATCAAACGCGACAACGGCTTCGTTTCCTCGAGAATAATCCGGGCCAGGAATCCACAGGGACACTGTGAGCAATAGAAAGCTCCGTGAAATCGGGTTGGAAAGGCTTCATCGGTGAAACCAGCACACGGACATGCACACACTTACCAGTCGATCTCTTCCCTCTTTTCACCCGCGATTTTCTTGTTGCCCGTCGAAGTTTTTGCCGCGCCACTGGAATACCGTGTGTGCGGCCAGGTTCCTTCAACGAAACAGTGGACAAAAATTCGATGTGTAACCTATTGGGCTGACGGGGAAATTAATGGCCACTAGAGGATGATGAGGTTGCTTTTGCACCTTCTGTAACTGTGAATAATGTAGAATTTTTTTAACTTTCTTTATTGTGCGATAAAGAATTTTAACGAATAGCACTTTGATCCTATATAAAGAATGTTATTGCAGATAAAAAAAGACTAGAAGTATTCCTTAACCCTCTATAGCCCGATTTTTTTTCGTGACTATACAAAAATTTATGTAACGTGAAACCAACAAACGAAGGGCTTAGTGGGAAAGGGACACATGCGACATTTACGTCGGTTTTTAGTTTTTTGTACCATTAATAAGCTCTAACTTTATTTTTCCTAAAAGTAGTTGTCGTGTAAATTTATAGTATTGTGACATGTGCCCTTTTTCCACTAAACCCCTAAAATATCAACCTCTAAATACAAATTAAGAACATTGAATGTACAATTTTCAAAGATTTTATTATTACTCCGATAAGCACCAACGAAGTATAGGAGAGACTTTTCACCTTATGGGAGCTGGTTGTCTACCTAAACTGTAGTATGTACCGACACCTTAAGAAGCCTGTGACTTTAGTGACCTCTATGTTATAAAATCGGTGAAACTGCGTTATGAAAACGGTGGGTAGTGACACGAAAATAAAAATGGGGAACGTTGTCCCAGAAAAGTCGGCCACAAATATACATTGAATGAAATGTCTACTCCTATACCCCGTCGGTATCTCAAGCTAGAGTTGATAATCGCTACAAAAAATTTTATCGAATTCCAAAGAGAGGTACAGAGTCTCCTCGATTATCGTCCCTAACTCGAGTCCGCGAGGGGACCATAATCGTGGACTACGCGAAACGTTTCTGACCCCAATGAATACGTTTTTTGCTCGAACCTCTGCAACTTGAAATTAATGAAAATTTGAATTTAAATGAAGGGAATTATTGAAATTTATGCCAAATTAACATTCGATTTAACATTTATTTCAGCACTTGAAATAAATTTACCAAGTGGTAAGAGGTCTTTCTCTTATGCCACTTTTTCCCCTAGCGGAAGCCGAGTTTGCTCGCCGGTATACACATACATCGGTCGCTATGCGATTTACACGAACAACTCCGTCACTGTGTGCGTGTCGCTCTCGAGACCGCGTGTCCCCACACCTGACTCTCACTGTGTGCATGTCGCTGTCGCGAACGCGTGACCCAGGGACCGTGCTCGGAGGGTTAAACCCTAGTCTGTATTTGAACCATCTCCTCTACTTAAAATAAAAAATATTAGAAATTTAATTTCGAGTCCATAACTTCTAAAACTTCCTTTATTTCAACAAATAACTACATGCTCCATTCGGATATGTTTATATCACACCGAGAAAATCCGATTATAATTGTTCAATACGGCACGAAACGCGCTTCTGTCGGGACGAAACGCAAAATTGGCAGTGTATTTACACTCCGTTTCCCTCGTTAACTCGTTTCGGAGTGACTGCATATTATTAAAAATTCCATCTCCAACGCAGTACCTTCGGGAGCTGCCCAAGAATCGTTCCCGTAATTAGACAACTGAATCGTTCGAGCGGCCCTTCAATCAAGCAAATGGAACATTCCCGCGGTGCTATACGCGCTCGCTCCCTTTTTTTACTCTCTCTCCCAGCGGAAACCGCGGCGGAGGCGGCTTAATTATGCGCTCCACATGCACCCACTCGAGTGGCTTCTTTCCGCTTTATGATTCCGTGTTTACTCAGTGGCTGGTGCGCCCGTCGTTAATGCCTTTCGCCCCAAATATTCGCCGCGAGATGGGCGTTTTTAGCGGTGCTCCCGCGTATGGTGTGCGACCCCATGGAAAAAATTCACGATACACGATCTCTCCGACGACGGGTATTATTTTTTCGGTGTCCAGACAAAAAAAAATGTATAGGCCGAAAGAGAGGTTTGGGGATTCGGCGTTGACCGCCATTCGTCGTGACATTATTGGTGACCTAGTTACGAACAATTCGCACGCTTTTATCGAACGGCAAACAACGAACTCATTCAAGCTTTTTCACCCCCCTTATTTTTCAAAGTACGTACCGTGTAACGCAGTTTCGGATTGTTTCTCATTTTTTGTTTTTTCGTCATATAGACGTGGCTCACGGTAACTTCACGCCAGAGGAAGCACCAACAACTGAGTCACCGATTCAGAGCGACGTTTTCGTGGAGAAAAATGGCAGCGCGGAAGGCGAGCTTCCGGTCTCGACGGCGAAACACGACGACCCGACATACATGGCGGTCGTGATCGGTGTGCTAACCGCGGTGATCCTTCTGCTGGCCGTGGCAATATTTCTGATTGTCTCGAGACACAGACAACGGAAGTGCTTCGCCAGCCCTATGACCGGGAAAGCGCCGTCTCATCTTGGATCCACTTGCGCCACCGTCGAGAAAGGAGCCGCTTTGATGGCGTACACTTTGGAGGATGACGAAAGGTATTTTACCAATAAATCTGTTTTTTTTTTCTTGCTTCAGTGACGCTGTATAATTGAAGAGTCCAGTGCTAGGGGTTGTATTGCCGCGATAGTTAGTGTTGCGAGATATTAAGCCTTAAAGGGGGCACTCCGTATAGATGGTTAAAATAAAGCTGATTTTTCGGAAATGATTTTCCGAAGAACTTATTTAGTTTAATTTGTTGACGCTTTTAGATTGACTTAATAAATAGTTTGTAAAGAAAAAAAAAATTTTGTCCATAATAAAAAATAGTTGGTATATGTCGATTCATGGAGGTAGTTCCCAGAGACCACGGCGTCGGATGTATAAATCGGCGTGCAGCCTACCGTCCACTGTATTCGCCTAAAACACAAAAACACACAAATTTTGTTTTTTAAATAAAATTACGCTATGGATGAACATATTAGAACAATAAAAAGTGCTTAATTAAAGAAATGACGGGACTTAGAAAACAAAGATACCGATTTTTAAAAAAGAATTCGTGTTCACTATGCAATAAACATTATATAATTTAATAATATTGCTAATTTTATAGGTTCATCGAGAGGGAAATTTAATTTTCTATATCTATGCAGTGGGATAACTCGATTGGTCGAATATTTTTTTAGTTATGCTGCACGCCAAATTGGAAAAAGTAGATTTGAGAAAAATGCGTTTAAAGTTTGAATTAACGAGTAAACAGTTGTTACAGTTAACAAGTAAATGCATGAAAATGTGCATTCGAACAAAGTTATTTACACCAACGAGCAAACTCGGCTCCCCCTAGAGAAAAAAGTAGTGTTGGGAAAGGGCCTCCTACCATGCTCGTACCACTTATTGTTAGTATTGGAAATTACTGGATTTTATGCCGAATGAACATTCGGTTTAACATATGTTTCAGTACTTGAAATAAATTTATCAAGTGATAGAAGGCCCTTTTCTTAAGCCGCTTTTTTCCCTAGCGGAAGCCCAGTTTGCTCGTCGGTGTGCACATTAGGGGTGTGCGAGTACTCGAATTATTTGAGTAACTCGAATCTCGAGTCAAATAATGATCGATCGGTCGAGCCGAGTCGAGCGTTCGAATTCTTCAAGGTACTTGAAATTGACGAACTGTTCGAAAATAGTGCGAGCTACTTGTAAAATTCAAACGGTTCGAATATTCAAGAACTCGTAAGACTTCAATTTACTTGAAAATGAATTTTCAGCTCGAAAATTGTTGAATTACTCGATACATTCGAACAGATCTTTAACTTTCGAGTTACCCGTAAATATTCGAATTGCTCGAATTACTCGAATATTCAGCTATTTACTATCAAATACTAATCTAATTGTTAGGAAGAAAAATATAAGAGGCTAATTGAATGCTTCTGATTTATTTTCATATTTTCAACAAGAAAACACACATCCCCTACGTAATCAGTTAATAATTTTGTACGGACAATTTTGTAGGAATAATGGATAAAGAATGGAAAAATTTGATTTGTTATTCGATGTTCGAGTAAAAAAAGTATTTTTCGACGAGCATCGAATGAATAAATTTATTCGATGAGAATTATCCGACGAATAGAAGATACTTTTTTTATTCAAAGTGTTTTAGTCGTAGCGTTGAATAAAATTTTCTTCTTTTATCTGCTCCGTGTAATTCGAGCAGTTCGAATATTTACGAGTAACTCGAAAGTAAGAGATCTGTTCGAATATATTCGAGTAATTCGAACATTTACGGGCTGAAAATTCATTTTCAAGTAAATCGAAGTCTTTACGAGAGCTCGAATATTCGAGCCGTTTGAGTTTCTCAAGTAGCTCGCATTTTTTTCACACAGTTCGTTGATTTCAAGTAGCTCGGAAAATTCAAACGCTTGACTCGACTCGAGCAATCGAACCGAGTTCGGCTCAGCTTGTAAATTATGAGTACTCGCACACCCCTAGTACACATAGGTATAGTAACAATGTCATAAAGCAAGTGATGAATGAGTATGCGGCTGTCATATATGACCATATATATCTCTCAACATTTTCTCAATAGGATACATAACATTATATAATAATGAATATATTATATACATAACATTATATAATAATGAAAACCTTTATGTATAAATATATATTATACGAATACTATTTTTATAATACATATTCAGGGAAACAGGAAACATATTCTTCCTATTTGGTGCATGAACATTCTATATAGGTATTATTCATCCATTCAGCGGTTTATTTTTCACTACGAATGGTTTAATTCAAGAAAAATAGAGAAGCTCCTTCGAATTTCGCGAACGATGCGCGCCGAGCGTTCTCGTACGCGCGATAGCCGTGTTTCCCCGTCTTCACGAACATTTGCGCGCTGCGAATGCGCGCCGGGTCGTTAAAATCGACCCTTCTTGAGGGTCTTCAGTGGAAATTCTGTTGCATGTTGCTTAAGTGTGGACGGTATTTTGACCGCGCGCCGTGTTGCGCGTGTTCGTGCTCACTGTTGCACATATTTGGACCTGCCTTAACACGCACTCGAGCTGAACGGCGTAACTTTCGCGTGGAAAAAGTACCTGTCTCGAAAAAAGAACGTAGTACTTCCGTCTCTACAAAAGAGCCGCTTTAAACTCGGTCATTCTTGGATGCTGTTGCGTGTAACAGACTGTCTGTACACGGTTACACTATTATTCTTTTAATGGACTCGTAAACTACGGTTCAGTACGGGTATAAACTTGAACAGTAACACGGACCGCAACGGTCACGTGCCAGCAGCGAGCATTCTAGAATACAGTAAAGTCTCGCTATTTGTCCTAATCTCGTGACCAAGTTACGATAATTGTTGAGACATACGGATGCTACAGAAATAGATCGTTTATTGTAATTTGGTCTGAAAAGAAAGTGAAAATTGTTGAGAGGGAACAAGGGAAGCATGTCAAAGATCTTCAGACATCGTTGATTGGTGTAAAATGGTAATATCTAAGCTATACTCGCGAAATTGAAAGGGCTTATCTTATTACACCTTCATTGAAAAAGTATATAACCAGTAGATTTCTTTGTACAGAAGTTACATCGTCTCATCTTTGATTCTTTCTAGTGAATTTGTAAATAATAACGGAAATACATTGAGGTTCCAAAGTATTGTACAAACACCGATTTTATCAGAATCTGCGGAATTCATAGGTTTTGAATAATATACCGTAATTTGGAGTAACTTTGTCCCAAAGTCAGAACATGATCGTATTCGATTTTGCAGCTCTTTTCTGTGTATTTTTACGTGAAATACCTTCTCACGTAAAAATCGACTTAAGTGAACAATTCTCGAAACTGCAAAATCGAAAATTATCATTTTCTGACTTGGGACAAAGTTACCCTGACTGACAAGACGAAGTTACCTCGATTTATGGTACTGTGTAATCCGTAAGAAAGATAAGGTACCTACTAATGATAAGTGGTGATATACATATAAGCACCAAATCAGAGCTGTCAGATGAGGGTCAAGGAAATTCATTCCATTTGTTATGCATTTCATAGTAGGCCTGCAATACTTTGGAACACCAATGTCAGAAAGAATATTATCAAATTCTGACAAGAGTGGATCGGATAGGTAACATCAGACAGCACTAAAGCTTCTTCAATTAATAATCTTCAACCAATAGATGGTATCAATGCTTAGACACGTAACTTACGAAAGCGTATAACAACAGCATGCCATCCCTATCAATAATAGAGGTAATCATGCCAGAATTACGTAACAATAGACGTAATACTGTATTACGTTCAAGAACATAGAAAGCATCTCAAGAAATGAGACAGTCTTTCCATCAACTGAAATTACATTTAAATTTTCATTGTACGGATCGCTATGTGTCTCCCCACATACCGGTACGTAGCTGTCAGTCAGTTAACCAGAAATTCTACAGACACTGAAAAATATGAAACATATCCCCGCGTATCGAGGGAATTCCGTTCTCCGCATACTTTTCCATGCCTCCCTCCCTCTGAGCCACAGTCCCGACGATATTAACGCGGATTCCCGCAACGTGCTGACGTTTCAAACGAAGATTTCTCCTCCTTCTGTCGCCAGATACGCCGGCGGTTCTTTACCCACGTTGCCGCGGGATCTGGGCAACCGTCTCCTGGACATCGTGAAGCTCGACGACTACCAAGAACCGTACCAAGCATTAAAGTACGCCCCGTACTATAGCTACAGCACCGTCGTTATGGAGATGAAAGACATGATGCTGAACAACAAGGGCACTAACATCAATCACTCAGGTATGCCGCCCTGGAACACACGCTCCCACCCCTTTTGGGCCCGATTCACTCCCCACTCTGCGTTCTGTTTTACACGTATACGTACGCGCGTCGCGCTCCTATATTTATACCTGGTGCGCATTAAACGGTTGCCACGAGTACACGAGCAATCGCCCGTGCCTACGTACCCGTGTGTATACCAAACAACAAAGCATTCGCCTGGCCGCAATCAATACGTCGTCATCTACCCCCCTCTAGCGCCCCCCTCCCCACTCTTCATTCCCCTTCGGTTCTCTGCCCATTCCTCCTTTGCTATATCATCCACAGCGGTGTACGCGAACGGTGCAGTTGACACATCGTACGATTATGCGGTACCGGAACTCGGCACGGTGCCCCTGCTCAACCAGGACGGAACGGGACGTGGCTTGGCCGTATCCAGCGCCGCGAGCGACCAGGACAGCATCTTCTCCAAGACATCGTCACGTGGCAATAAAACGGAGGACAAGAAGGTACGTACGTCTGTGACGTTTACTATTGCATCTATGTTATAGTTGCCCCAATTGATATACTTTAACTGTGAGCAGCGCTTGTAAAGGGTCTAACGAAAGTCATTGCAGTGTAACTTCGCTGGCCAGAATAGGGGCCCTCCACGTGCATGCTTTCACTTCCAACCATTTGTTCGTACCGTGTGCCTTCGTAGAGACAGAGGCTTAGACTCTTGTCTCTGTTACTCCATGGTAACAGCGGACAGTGGTAGGGGCAGGTTTTAGCTGCCGGGAGCTAACTTCGCCCACCGCTGCCTTCTAGAAATGATGTGTAAAGGCGTTCAATGCTGGTAGCTCGCTGGGTGCGAATAACGTTTCTAGGTGATCTTTATTTGTTGTGGGAAGGGTTTCGGACCTGATTGATATTATTGAGTTCGTTGTGCCTCAGGTGTGTTGTATATTAGAAATACTAGTCAAAGCCCTTGATTTTTGCTAAGAATCACGCTTCTTCGAGATGCTGGGCTAAGTAGCGTTGGTCTAACATAATCCTCTTACTAGAAAGCGCCCTTGCTTTCTTTTTTACTCTATGGCTAGATCCTCCAACAACAATGTATTTATTCTTTAGGCAACGCAGCTTTCGCTTGCTTGCCATCTTTAACTTTCTCTCGTCTGTTTCACATAAATAAACATTTACCTCGCTGATAGCCGAAGGGCCCAACGTAGTCTTTCGCCACCATATGACACCAGGTCTGTTTAAGCTCATGCACCCCCTTTCAAGACTTCATGCATCGTGACAACTTATCATAAATCATCCAAGGGTCAATAAGCGTCAGGCCATTCGATTTCAAATCCACTTAAAACACGTTGACGCTAACACGTAGGAGTCATTTATGATAACTACAGTTCTTATTATTTATGTAATGAAACAAATGAGGTGTTTTTTAAACGTTAACGTAACGTTTAATAATATCAGATAGAAAAAATGCGAGAACACAGTATGCAGTCGTAGTGGTGGGATGTGTCTGATCACAGTCCTGCCTTTTTCCCTTAAGCAGACTTTCTCATTCAAAATTGAAAAAAAGACACTTTTTTAATATTTCTTTATAAAAAAACTATTATATTTAGAAACATAATTCCTTTTGGACGCTATTATATATATTATTAAGAACATGAAGAAATTTTTTTCTAGCACTTTTAGTTCACCACGACCGCTGTAGAGGGCGTCTTCCAAAAAGCCACGTTTTAATCGGTGCGACACTTTGCAAACGTCCTGTAAAAAATTAAGTAAAAATTCAAACGGGATTCTATTCGTGAGACTTATAACTAGACACCAAATCTCTAAAATATTTTATTTTTTGTATTTTTTATCGTTTCATACATATTTTTCCGAAAAATTCGAAAAATCACTCTTTTTTGGGGGCAATTCACCCCTGTATAAAAAAAGGGGGGGGTAGTTTTATGAACTTTTAGAGGTTTATTGTCTAGTTTTAAGTCTCACGAATAGAATCCCGTTTGAATTTTTACTTAATTTTTTACAGGACGTCTGCAAAGTGTCGCACCGATTAAAACGTGGCTTTTTGGAAGACGCCCTCTACAGCGGTCGTGGTGAACTAAAAGTGCTAGAAAAAATTTCTTTATGTTCTTAATAATATATATAATAGCGTCCAAAAGGAATTATGTTTCTAAATATAATAGTTTTTTTATAAAGAAATATTAAAAAAGTGTCTTTTTTTCAATTTTGAATGAGAAAGTCCCCTTAAAGTTATAGACTGCTTATTCTTGTAATTATCAACCCCCACGGCTCAATTATCCTTCACTGCTCACTTTAAAACGTTACTTTGAAAATAATTAAAACGTGAATAGGATTGCGATAAACATTTTTAAAACTTTTCCGAGATTATTAAAATTTCTGAAAAAGTTCAAGATTTAGATAAAGCGATAGAGATCATACCAAAGTGTATGAAAAAAAAGATCTTTCGGTTTTGTGTAATAAAACGTAATAACTAGTTTTAATATTGTATTATTTACATCTATTAATATTAATATACAAGTTTCACATTTAATTCATCAACTAATTCTTTGATTTTCCTCGTAATTTCTTAATTTAAGGTACAATATACACATTTCACATTTAATTCGTCAACGAATTCTTTGATTTTCCTCATAATTCCTTAATTTACAGTTTGAAGCACAAAATCAAGTTCTGTCGAGGAGCTGTCCCACAAACATGACGCCTCGGGCAATATTTCCCAACCCTTTGTGTGTAATCATTGCAACACAAGGGGCCTGGTGTTGTCATCAGCAAATTGGAAATCGACGTTAATTAAACAAAAACGTATAATTGAAACTTTTCCAAAAGCCCAATCAAAGACATTAAAAATTGACTGTAAGCAACCTTCGTGCTGTCAACATGCTACTGCTTTTGCTCTTCGCTGATAAAACCTGTCAAATCCTACGGCGACTAATCCTCCGATTAGTCGATCATAATACAAAAAATAGAAGCACATGCACAAACACATAACATACTCACAGAAGAACAAAAAAGACACAGGAAAAATAGTCGCGGATGCAAAGAACAACTAATAATAGTCATAATGAAACAAGCAGAAGAACAATAAAGAAACCTACATACATGTTACACAGATTATAAAAAAGCATTTGACTCCGTCCCACATAGCTGGCTCCAACGAACCCTAGAAATATACAAAATACTCCATACCATCGCACAGTTCCTCAAACACACAATGAACGGCTGGCGAACAACCATACACCTAAACACCAACAACCCAGACACAAACATACATACCGACGTAGTAAATATAAAAAGAGGGACATTCCAAGGCGACTCATTAAGCCCCTTATGGTTTTGCATGTGTCTTAATCCCCTATCCAAAGCACTCAATAGAACAGGATATGGGTTTGAAGTAAAAAACCGAACAAGAACAATACACAAAATAAACCACCTATTATACATGGACGATATCAAACTGTTCGGTAAAACAAATACACAAGTAAAGTACCTGATCAAAACGATAGAAGACATCAACCAACACATACAAATGGAATTTGGAATAAACAAATGCAAAGTACTGACAATAGAAAAAGGAAAATGGACTCAGAGCGAAAAAATAGAAACAATAAACATCGAATTTATAGAAACAATGCAAGAGCACGAAACATACAAATATTTAAGATTCGAACAAAACACAAGACTAGACCACAAACATATGAAATCAGAGATACTCCATAGATACAAGAATCGGCTAACATCTATACTAAAAACAAAACTAAACTCAAAACACATGACTAAAGCATTAAACACATACGCAAGCCCACTACTAACATACTCCTTCGGCATCATGAAATGGACAAACACAGATATGGAAGATATAAACAGACTAAACAGAACAATGCTGACAAAATACCGGATGCAACATCCTAAATCCTGCATCGAACGAACCACACTGCCTAGAGAACTCGGAGGAAGAGGAATAATAGACATCATCGAACTACACGAAAAACAAATCCAAAACCTACAGAACTGTTTTCATAGTAAATAAAACAGCGCGTCACTATATTTTGCAATAGCTAGAGCTGATAAATGATACACACCACTAAACCTAAGTGAAACCCCAATACAAAATACAGGACAAACCAACCATACACACTTAACACAAAAACTCTCATACTGGGCACAGAAAATGATACACGGTAGACACTATAATATAATGCAGCAACCACACATAAATAAACGACTTTCGTACACATGGCTCATTAAAGGAGAACTACACCCTGAAACAGAAGGATTCACTATAGCAATACAGGATGAAACCATAGTGACACGAAACTATAGAAAACACATATTGAAAGACCCAGACATACGCACAGATAAATGCAGAAGATGCCAACAATTTACAGAAACAATACATCATATAACTAGTGGATGCAGACTACTTGTGGCGACAGAATACACAACCAGACACAATACAGTGGCCAAAATCATTCATCAGATAATAGCACTAAAACATCACCTAATACAAGAAAAAATACCATACTACAAATACCAACCAGAGACAATACTAGGGAATGACCAAACGTAACTATACTGGGACGTAACAATACACACTGAGAGAACAATAGCACACAACAGACCAGACATAACATACACCACCAAGAAAGACAAAACCACATAACTCATAAACATCGAAATACCGAATGATACAAACATAAAGCAAAAAGTAGAAGAAAAAATAGGAAAATACACACCACTAGCCATAGAAATAAAGGACCTTTGGAAACAAAACGAAATTGAAATAATACCATTAATCATATCTCCAACACGCATAACTCCACAATCATTCACAGAAAACTTACACAAAATAAACATACATCCATTCATAGACACAAACATCCAGAAAGCAGTGATACTACTCACATGCAGCGTGGTCAGGAAATTCAGGAATCCATTAACATAAAAATAGTGAACCTCTATTTTACTTGGTTTTAACCTGTAAAATAGAGAGACAACTCAGTGGAAAACGCTGAAGAGAAACGAAATAATAATAATAATAACAGTGGTTACGTTTTATTACTCAGCACTTCAAACATTTTCGATTCAACGTGGAGCCACTCTTCAAACATTCGAATCTTCTCCAGCGCGATATTCAATTCGATTTCGTCGCATAAAATTCCTCCGAAATGACGATGAAGGAATATAAAGGCCGACAAAAGCGGCGTTTAATAGGGGATAGAAAATAATCGCGACCTCCCGATCAAGAACAAAGTAAACGGGTCGAAAGTGTAGAAAATTCAGCTCCGTTATCGTTGCACGATCTATAAATAATGGCCAGCTCCTTGGTCAAATGTGCCTGTATTTCTACGGTAACCGTTAAACGTGCTCTCCATTCGTCTGGAGGGGGTATGGGGGAGGGGTGGGAAAGTTCGCAATTAATAATTTAAATCAATATGGCGGAACGAGTGCAGACCGTTTGGGGTAGATATACCTCCCGTGGGTACCGTATAAC